GGGGGTGGGGCTCCTGGGGCTGGGCTGAGGGAGATACCTCCCAATCTCTTCCTTGACTTCGTAGAAAGTGTGCAGTTTTCTCCGATAGCTTTGCTTCTCTGAGTCCAGCTTGCTGTCCTCTATAGTCAGGGAGCAGTCAGCTGTCAGTGTGGACAAAGATCACCACCCCCTCCCTCTGTCCCCCAACTCTAGTATCAGCCAAGGCAGTGCCCAAGCATGTGGGCGCCTGCAGGACCCCACTTCTTCAGGGAGCCTGGACTGGCACCTGGGAAGGGTCCCCCGACTCACCTCCGTGCACCAGCAGCTCTGCCTTGCACAGCACCTGGCCACCAGCATTTTGGGCCAGGCAGGTGTACACACCGGCATCGTGCTGGGCCACATTCCTCAGCACCAGGGAGTAGGTTGTCCCTTCTTGCTGCTGGCTGAGCTGTGTACTGTCTACCAACTGGACGCCGTCCTGGAGGCACAGGTGGGTGGGCAACCATCAGCCCACCCCTGGGATCCAGCACTGGGACCCACCCCACCTTCAGTGAGTGACACACTGTGTTCAGTGAGTATTTCACACACTCCCCCTCCAGACACAGGGCCTCCACCCCAACCAGGTCCCTACCTTATACCAGGTCACTGTGGGCTGCGGGTTGCCCTCGATGACCGCCTGAAATTTCGCTGTGCTGCCCCCCTGTGCCTGCACGTCCTCGATGGTGACCTGCATGGACGGGGGGCCTGAGGGTGGGGAGGGAAACCATGGGGAGAAGTCCAGGTTGTACAGCCCAGCCACCCATTGCAGCCCACACTGCACTGAGTCTGAGCTGGGGCCTGCATCACTGAGACCCCCCCGGTGGGCTGGCAGAGACCCCAGGCTCATCTGGGTGCTCCAGGTATGTCAAGGCCCTGAGATACCCCCAGAGTGACACAGCCCACCTGCCTCCCAAGTGAAGGTGACCCCCTCCTGATTCCACCCAGGCTCCTGATTGTTAGGAAGTGCTTCTAAGCACTGTCTCTCCTGCTTGAACCCCAGCTCTCTGAGGGCAGGGCACGCAGAGCATGCTAACTTAGGCTGCAGAAAGGACATCTAGTTCACTGCTGCCTGCCCTCCCCTCCCCGTGATGCCCCTCTGAGGGTACCCAGGGAATGGGGCAGCAGGGGCCGGCCACAGCAGGGCTGGCACACATCGGATGGCCCCTCCGTGCAAGTGTCCCCCATTCAACAGTGGGCACACACATAACCTACTTGCTGCGGCACCCACGTCTCTGGCCTGGTACACATAGGTTTGGTGCATGGTCTCTGTGAACACGTGGCTGCAGACATCCCAGAGCTCAGTGGCCTCTGTCCCTGGCCAGGCCGCGCTCTCCAGCCTGGGACCATGCAGTGGGGTGAGTTGTCTGCCCAGCCATCCACTTCTAGGGGTGGGCACTGACCCTTGTGGTAAGATGGGTCCCTGCCCCACCCCCACCCGGGGCTGCAGCAGACTGGGAAGGTGTGTAAAGACCGGGGCCCCAGCCCTAGTGGAGGGGCTCCCTTAACACCTCTCGCCCCGGAGTGGCCTCTCCTCCTTGTAGTGCCCTTTGGCTAGGGTGGCGCTGATGAGGAGTGTCCTGGGGTGCTGTGAGCCTACTTCTTACTCCTCCTGCCCCGCCCCCAGATGTTCCCTTGTAGAATGCCCCACCCAGTGTGCCAGGGACATTACCTGATGGGCACTGTGCGTATGTGAGCTGGGGCGGGAGCCCCTGAGTCCTGATCCTGGCTTCCATGAGGGAGAGACTGAGGTTCCTTCCCGGATTCCGTAGGTGAGAGGCCAGGGCCTACTGAGCCAGAGCTTGGGATGCAGCTGGGAGCTGTCCCCAATGACATGCCCCCGTGTTACCCTCCAGGGACCAGAGGGTGGGAGCACAGGCACAGCAGGGGCGCAGGGTCCATGCCCCCAAACCTGGGACTCCTGCCACACATGTGCACCTCCAGGGCACCCTCCTGTCCTAGCCCTTTGGCTGCCTACCTCCCCCCACACCCTATCCCACAAAGGGATGCAGCAGCCTCTGTGGAGAGGGACCCCTCAGCAGCATCCTTGGGGATTAATTTGTCAGGGGCAAGATGTCTCCCTCCTCCCTCTCCTCTTTCTCCCCTAGTTCCCCCTTCCTCCTCTCCTGCCCTGGGGCACAGGGTGCGCAGGCTATCTGCTGAGGATCTGACCCAGGAGGCCTCTGATACCCAGGACAGATGTGCTCAGGGTAGGCAGAACCTCCCTGAACTACACTCTGCCTAGTTTCATATATGGGGTGATAGCCTGAGAGGCGGGCCTTGCCCAGGACCCCCAATACAAGGACCCCAGTGATATCTGGGTCCCCAGGGTTCTGCCAGTTCACTCCCATAGGATAAGCACCCATGATGACCAAAGTTGGGGTCAGCACAGAGGAGGGGGTTCTGGGAGCAGGTGGTAGTTTGCAGTGAGCCTGCCCCTGGGCCTCACCAGATTCATCTGCAGCCTCAGTGCCCAGGAGCTGCGGGCTGGCCTCCTGGAGAGCAAGTGGCCCCCTGGGGCCCAGGCCAGTGTGGTCCCTTGCAGAGGTTCCTGGAGCCTCAGGGCCCACCAGTGTCCTCTGGACAGGTGTGATCTGGTCCACTTGCTCCAGGGCAGCTGGGGGTGGAACAACAGCACCTATGGGAAAAGTGCATCAGCCTGTAGGGGTGAGGCATGGCCTGGGCCCAGAGGAGGGGCTTCAGGAAACCCATCTTAGTCCTCAGAGATGCCCAGGTAAGCCGACTAGGCTGCCCTCCCCCGCCACCTGCTCCACCCACCCACCACACCTCTCTCAGGAGGGGCAGGAGGTAGAAGCCCCTGAAAGAGAAAGGGGCCTGGAAATGGATAGAGATGGTGCTCAGGACAGTGAGCACAGAGCCTTTCTACTCCTGGGTGCTCAAATGCCTTCAGGAGAACATCACCTCCTCAGGGGCAGCTGAGCCCGGACACCTGCCTTGTGCCCCGTCTGCCCCTCAGGCTCAGCTCTTGCCATCCCTTCATCCTTCGCTGGCTTCCCTCGTGGCTCAATTCTGGACTGCAGGCCCAGTGGACCCAGCCCCATAATATGGAGAAGCCTATATAAGGGGCCTGGGGATACATGGGGTGGGCTTCCTTACTGCCCTCCCATAGCAGACCCTGTCCCCCACCCAGGATAGGACTGCACCCAAGGGCCTATCTGCCCTTCCCTCCAAGTGCAGCCTGGCTGGGCCCAGGTCACTGCACCCTCACCTGGCCCCTGCCCTGGCTTCCAATGCAGCACTCACCTCTTCCCGAAGGAACCACCAGACTCCCCCTGCCCTCAGCCTTGGGTGCAGCCCCTTCCTCCACCTGGCTGCCAGCCCCAGGTGGCATCATTGTGGTCTGACAGGTATGCCGTCATGCCCACTGCTCCATTCCCAGCAGGTCCCCCTGCCTAGAGCCCTCCCCTGCCCAGGACCCTCTCCAGCATTAGGGCACCCACCCTTCCTTTCCCACTCCAAGGAGGACCCCACACCCATCACACCCCTGTTGTCTGTCCTGACAACAGCCTGGCTGCACAGGGGGGCAGGAAGGCTTGCTTACCCATGGCAGGCTGGGAGCAACCACTATGGGCAGTCACACATGTGTACCTGCAACCAGCCCCACAGCTCAAGTGTTAGGTGGCTGGTCAGGTGAGCTGCCCGGCCTCCACCCAGGGACCTTAGGATGGCCAGGACCCACCCATGGCTGCCAGCAGAGGGGGCCTGGGCTGTCCACTTGTTGGTCCCCAGGGCCAGGCCTAGAGGGCCCCTATTGCCCAAGATGCCAGAGCCACTGGAAGAAGCAAGAAGGAGCAGAATACAGGGTGCGGGAGCCAGTTTATTATCATCATGGAATCAACTAACGGAGGCTGCTTCCCACCCACAGACCCGAGCCCACTCTGCAGGGAGGGCCCAGGAAGTCTGCAGAGGGCGCCCCAGTGGGCCTTCCTGGAGGCTGAGAAGTGTCCATGGGGGATATGTGCCCTCAGGGAAGCCCCAACTGAGGTGGGGGCAGCCTGGGCATGGGGCAGGGGTGTGCCGTCACAGAGGGGGGAGGCCACAGCCTAGAGCTAGTCTACCTGTTGCTCCCCCACAGCTCTCGGTAACCTGGGTTATAGCTGTGTGTACAGTGTCCTCAGCTGTGAGGTAGGAAACAACTGGGTGCGAGGACAGGCAGCTGCAGTCCCGAGTTGCTAGAGAGCAAGGGGAAGGTCAGAGCACATGTCCTGAGGTGCTGGCTTCAGGCCTCTCTCCTGAGCCCAAAACCCAAGACAGCTGTGAAGGTACCAGGCAGGGTCCTACATGCCTCTTTCTGCTGCTTCCATGCAGCCCTGTCAGCAGTATCTTGGCTCAGAGACTTAATGTCTCAACCCCCAGTTGCCTGTGCCCAAGGGTCGCACCCTCAGCCCTGAGAGGGGCCGGGGCCCTCATCCCCGTCAGGTCGAATGTGCAGGGTGACTGTCTCACCCACTGTCCCAAAGCTGACCGTATGGGTAGAAACCTCTGTTTTGAAGCTGCTCTGGCTACTGTCCACAGAGTGATGGACTTGGGTGCAGAAGGATGGCTTCCAGGACGTGGTACCCCTAGCCCCGGCCTGCCGCATGCAGGAGACACCAGCAGGGCCGAAGACCTGGGGCCTCGACAGAGCTGTTTCCTGGGGCAAGCAGCTGAAGAAGCCAGGTGGGCCTCGGGGACCTGGTGGGCGCCACACGTTGAGCAGGACGGGCCGTCCCACAGTGGGCTCGCTGATCTCTCTCTGGAGCACTGAGACCTCGCAGGGTGGGTCATCGGAAGCACTGGGCGTGGGGCTGCTGCAGCCGAAGGTCTCCCCTTCCTGGGGCATGTAATCCTCCAGGTCAGCCAGCGTCAGTGTATGGCCATCATGTGTGAGGATCTTGGGGTCACAGCCCCAAAGGTCATCGGCGCCCAGGTGGACACCTCTCCCATCCTGAACCTCCAGGGGGGCCTCCTCTTCTGTGGCCCCAGGAGGGGACAGCTCAGGGGTCTCCAGCCCGGTGTCCACACAGAAGACTCTGCCCTGGGTCAGGGGCTCCTGGGCCAGCAGCTTGTTGTTGGAGTTGTTTGTGTTGGGGTCTCCTCCAGGGGTCCCTCCAGGCAGCGTGAAGAGATGCCCCGCCAAGCTGCCAGGCACCTCTCTAGCTGGAGATGCACCCCTTGAGCCTGTTTTCTTCACCTGGACTTCGATGGTCTCCTCAACCTCCACCCACTTGGGTGGGGTCCCAGTGCCCCTGGGCAGGGCCGACCTGTGGGCTCCAGGCTCTGTCACATACAGGGTGGGTACAGTGGGCCTCCTGCCTGGCTCCGCCCCTGGCCTGCGGTGTTGGCCAGTCCCAGGCGAGTACAGCAGCTCAGGGGCTGAGGGGCCTGACCTGGGTGGACTGGCAGGGTGGCGGGAAGGTGAGAGGGAGGGAGACTTGCTGGGGGACTGGAGGCGGCCACGGGGGCTCTTCACCACGGTGGTGATGGTCTCCTCTCTGCAGGGAGAGGGCCAAGAGGAGATGGCACAGAGACCCGCAGCCTGGCTTGCCACCCATGCCATCAGCACATTCACGGCCACTGTGAGAGATCAGGTTAATGTACCAGCAAGCAAATGGTGAAACTGCATAAGCTCCTACACATGCACTTGAGCCCAGTCTCTGGAACCCCCAGCCAGACAACCAAAGAAACAAACACAAAGTCTCATCTGGTCAATCACAGACTGGTATGCAGACCGCAAAACAAGAGTTGAGGCATCTGCATCACACAGGTGCCTCCAAACCTCAGACCAAGTCCAGTTTGCAATGTGCCTGTGGGTCAGTATTGCAATTTCCCTGTGGGTCAGTATTCCCTCTTTAGAGCTGAGATGCCAGTCCTCCTCGCAGAGCTAATGGCCAGGGTACAAGGACACTGCCCCACAGCCCTCCTTTCCATCTCACCAGTGTTTTGTTCTTTGTATCATTGGGGGGGGGGCTGCCCCAGCAAGCTCTCAGAGGGCAGGTACCTCAGTGATCTTGAGTTAGGGATAGACTGGGCAGTTGATGCCGCAGGTACAGGTGTGAGAAGGCTGTCAGAGCCCTGACCTGCAGCCTGTGTTCCTGGCCTCCGTCTGGTGGCGTGAGGCTGGGCAAAGACACTTGGTCTTGGGTGTGGCTCTGCTGTCATAGGCTTTGTGACCTCAGACAAACTCTTTCCCTTCCTGGGCTCCATCTTCCAAAATGGAGTGAGGTGGGAGGAGAAGAGGTAGAATCCAAGGCCAGTTACATGTGGGTGTACATGGGGTGCTGACCGGGGACTCTGCAGCAGCATTGGGGGATGGGTCTGACCCCCTTTTACAGGAGTAGACAATGCTAAAAGAGGCTCAAAACTTGCTCAGGACCAAGAGTCAGAAGTCCACTAGTCAGCCAGGCCCTCCTCTGCTGTCCAGTGCCCTGAGCTGGCTGGGTGCTGAGGGTGAAATGAATAGCAGGCAGGGAGCAGTAACGGGCTGAGTAACAGCTCCCCTGGGCACCAGGACCTGCCTTTCCTCTTGGGCTCAGGCAGGGGGACTTGGCATGTTGCTGTCAGCTGCCTGCCTTGACTAAGACATTGTCTCTCTCCAGCTTGCTTTTGCCTAACTCAGGGCTCCATTCAGGAGCAGTTACCCCCAGGCATGGGCACAGAGATGTGTGGCCACACCTCAGGGTGCAGAGCAATTAGAGGTCCTGCCTCCCCCAGCCCCACCTGACAAAGGGGAAATGCTATCTCCATTTAATTGAGAAAGGGAGGCTTGGAGTCAGCCTACTCGGGGCTGAAGGCCTGCCTTCTTGCCTCACACCCAGGCCCAGAGGTCAAAGCCTGCCTGAACATCAGGGGAACCTGGGACAGGTCCCAACTGCTGGCCTCATACTGCCTAAGAAAGGACAGTGGGTCAAGTGGAACTGGGAAGCTGGATCACTCCACTGAGCTGGTGTGGCTCAGTGGTTGGAGCGTCAGCCCATGACCCAAAGGGTCGAGGGATTGATTCCCAGTCAAGGGCACATACCTGGGTTGCAGGTTCAATCCCCGGCCCTGATCGGGGCACATGCAGGAGGCAACCAATCAATCAATGTGCCTCTATCACATCGATGTTTCTCTCTCTCCCTCCCCACCCCACTCTCCCTCCCTTCCACTCTCTAAAAATTAGTGGGAAAAATATCCTTGGGTGAGGATTAACAAAAAATAAAAATAATAAAATGCCACTCCCACTACTGGGCTCACTGCTGCTTCCATGAGGACATGTGGGCAACCTGCTCTGAGGTGAGGCCATTGGCACAGCATGTGGGGCTTCCAGGTGGCAGTGTCTCTCCAAGCCAGTTTCTTTTTCATATCCCTGGCTCCCCCGTACCCCTCACTGTGTGGTGTGCCCCTGGTAGGGGGCATGCTGTGTGTCAAGCAGTTGCCTCTCTCCACTCCTCAAGCTGAAGGGGTACACTCCTTGTGGGATGAAGGCTGCTACCTCCATGAGCCTGGAATACAATGGACTTCAGGTGCCTGTAGTCTAGGTGTCTAGCCTCCCATTGGCATGAGTCCTCTCTGGTGTCTCCTCTATGGGGCTACCTGGCTTCATCTCTGCTCCTCCATGAGTCATCCATTAAATGTGAATAATAACAATGCTCCCCTCATGGATGAAATGGAGAGTTGATCTGTGTAAAGATCCAGAATAGTTGCATACCTCCAGGAATGGAGTGCTTACTGCTACCCCAGGGAGCCCCATCTGTGGGGTAGTGATCTCCTTTGTAGAAAGAGGAGGGAAGTCAAGGAAGGCTTAACCCAGGATCTTATCAAAATGTCTGCAGATGGATTCTCTAGCAACATGACCAATTGTAGGCCCTTTAAGAGGTCTGAGGCCCATGGGGAACTAAGAGGTTGCCCATCCTGGAGTTCTCAGTCACCTGGCCTTAGGAAATGATAGTCTTTCTTGCCTCCTGGCTTTTGCAAGCTCTTCCACCACACCCACTGCACACATGTCCTATTGGAAGTCCTTCCAGATTGTCCAGGTCAAAACCAATCCCACCTTCTGTGCATTCAACTAGCTCTGAACCTCTTGTTATTTAATTATCAACAACCATGTGGCTTTTTTCTCAGCCTTGAAGGCAAGAAGGATGAAAGAGGACAGTGGGTGTGGCACTGGGGAAATGGGTTCTTAGTTGGCTTCTAATCATGAGCCACCCTGAGAAATCCTCCTCTCTTCCCTTAACCTTAGTTTCCCCATCTGGCACTGGGGAAATGGGTTCTTAGTTGGCTTCTAATCATGAGCCACCCTGAGAAATCCTCCTCTCTTCCCTTAACCTTAGTTTCCCCATCTTCCAAAAGTGAGGGTTAGACTTGGAGACATTTAAGGGCCCTAGAACTGTGCTGTCTACTATGGTTACACTATTTTAATTAAAGCCAAATTAGTGAAAATTAAATTTAAAATTCAGTTCTTCAGTTCCACTAGACACATTTTAAATGCCCGGTAGTTACATGCAGCTAGTGGCTGCTATAGTAGACACTGTAAATATGTAATATTTCCATTACCACAGAAAATTCTGTTGGACAGCAATGCCCTAGATCCCAGGGTGTTGAAGGGGAGAAATATGCCTCTAGCCCACCAGGACACAGCTGTCGATCCCAGATCTACCCTAACTGGTGTGATTCTGGGTCCAAGCCCTGGGTGAGACACTGTGAAGTGTGCAGAGTAAACCTGTCCTCCTGAGGCAGTGCAGCCATGGAGAGAGTTCTGAGGCCCTGGAAGAGAAAGCTCTGAAGTGCAAAGGTAGCCAAGGTCCCAGGGGAAGGTCAACTCCCTGGGAATATCTGCAAGGTGCTGGAAGTCTGTGTGGTGAGCAAAGGCTGTGAGGACAAGCAGCCAGGCAAGCAGGTGGCCAGAGCACACAGGCAAGGTCCAGGCAGGTTAGTGGGCATGCAGGTGGCACTGCAGTCAGAAGGAAGGTTAGAAACACGCCTGCACTTACATGATGACGGTTTTCTTGGGGACTTTAGTCTCCTGCTCAGTGACTACAAAGAAAACAGTCGGAATAGCGAGGGTTACAGATCAGTCAGCACTTAGGGCTGAGCTATCTAAGTGGCATGGCTGTGTAGTAGCCCGCTCAGCTTAGAAGCACTGGATCCAAGCCCTGCCTGGCCATGTGCCCCTGTAACAACTGTCTCAGCTTAGAGCTCCACTTCCCTCATCTTTGAAATGGTGATCATGTCTGCTTTGAGTGGTATGACAACAATGCCACATGAGGGGAGGACCCCTGTCCCTCTTGAGGGTCTTGCAGGAGTTTCAGGCAGAGTAAGGGCCTTTCCTAGGCTGCCCACTCAGAAATCCCAGCTTCTCCTTCAGCTATGTGCTGAGGGATTCCTGGGAATCTGTCAGGCCTAAAGTCCTACTTTTCAGACATAGAAACTAAGGCCTAGAGAGAGGGAAGGAATAGTCTGTGGCTGCACAGTGATCAGGCAGCCAAGCTAGAACCAGGATGGCTGATGCTCATTTTTAAAAAAAATCCTAAAGACCAAAGATGTCTCTAGGAGAGAATGACTGGAGTCCTGGAAGAGGCACATAAGGCAGGAGACCACAAAGTCCCATCGGAAGCAGCCTGCAGATGCCTGGGCAGGGTCTGAACTCTGGGTAAACTGGGAAACCTAGGTCTTCCCATAGAGCACCTAGCTTTCCTCCTCCCTAGAACCAGCAGGACAGGGCCTGTGGTTCCCATCTTAGGATGGAGGACCCAAGTCCCAGAGACAGGGGCTAGGCAGCAGTTATGCCCAACCTTCTTAAGGCCTCTTTTTCTGCAGCTTCTGGGCAGGCTTGGGCTTGGCACAGAGATGTCCCACCCAGTCTTGCCCAGCTGGACAGCAAGGATTCCACCAGCTACCAGCACCCTCAAATTTCAACATCTCCTCTCACCATCCTGTGGCAAAATTGAAGGGGAGGCTCAAAATCCAAGTGGCAGGGCACACAGCCTTCCAGCTCCTGGTCTGTGGATTTTCTGCTTTGCTGGAGTCCCACATAGAGTAAGGCTTTAAATGTGCATGTGAATTAAATGTACTAGCTGTGTCTGTGTGGCACTTGGGAGTCACATTTACTGTGCATGTGCACACATGTGTGTATGTGTGTGTGCATGCATGTGTGTGTTTGTGCAAGCTGCTTCTTGGAGAGAGGGCAGCCCACTGGGAGAGAATAGGTCAGACAAAATGCCATGTGTTTAGTCTAAGCTGGACCCAGAGAGAGCCAGCCCATTGGCTGCCTCCAGGCCAGATCCTGTGAGCAGAGCAGTGGGGGAACCAGGACTCTGTCTCTCATCCTCCCTGCCTAGGGCCCATCCTGCTGCTCTGGGGAGTGCTGGCCTGGCACCCCTGGATGGCTTTGTTCCTGACCTAACTGTCGCCTGACAGGCCCAGGGCCCTGGTGAGTACTGGCGACCATGGGAGGGGTGCAGCCATGCGAAGCAGGACTGCCAGCCCAGTGCAGTTTCACAAGCGAGGGGGCAATGCCCACCCCACAGGGCCAGCTGGCTGCGGGGCCACCAGGTTAACAATAAAGCAGCAGGACAGGGTTAGGAAGCCGGAGGTGGCAGGCTCCAACTCCAGGGTCTGTGAGGACCGGCCATCTCCCTGAGTGAGGCACAGCACTGTTTCTGGCCCCAGTGGCCGGTCATGGAATATTGACAGAGAGATCCATCTTGACAACGAAGTGAATGGCTCTGTAGAACGCGATTATCACCAGCCAAGAGGGAGCACTGAGGCCCCTGCTCAGCACGTCCCCTTCAGATGTCACCCAGCAGGAAGCAGAGGGGCCACAGATACCCCTGGGGCCTCCAGTGGGAACTGGCTCGGCCAGCGTAGGCAGCCCTCTGGGGGATGAGGAACCAGGACCCTTGCCCATGAGGAAAAGATGGGTCTCTGTGAGGGCCCTAGAGAGGCTCAAAGGCCCTGAGGCCAAGATCTGAACACTAGGTGGTCCGACTCTATGAGGATCCAGGCAGTGGCCCCCAGACGCTGGGTCCAGGGAGGGACTGGATCCAGTGGCCCAGGGATCACAGAAGCCAACTTTCATAATTTGGTAGGACATATATTTTAACTTGTCCTACTATAGGAGTTGCACCAGGTGTTGGCCCAGCCTGTACTTGCATGTCTCCAAGGATGGGAGGCTCACCACCTTCCCCAGACAGCCCCTTCCAGGTAGGGCAGCTCAGACTGGGAGAAGCTCTCCCCAGGGTGGCAGCCTGCTCTGTGAGCCACACAAGGCTGCTCTCTCAGACTGAGCAGGCCCAGGACAGATGCCTGCTGCCCTCCTCCCCATCCTGGCCATCCTCAGCCAGACCCAGCTGGGACCCTGGAACCACAGTATGTGTCAGTGGAGGAACGAGGCACCTCCCTGCCCTTCATCTCCTGCCAGGAGCACACCTTTCCCAAATGAGGCTCATTCAGCGTCTGGTCCTCCTCTTCCCCTCCTTGAACCAGGGGCAGCCCCAGGCCAGGGATACCTATGCTCAACATGGACAGCCTGCCTGGTATGGAGGAACCAGAACCCTGGCACCTGCTCCCTCTCCTGGGAGCCAAGCTGGAACCCAGCAGCATGTACTCTGCACTTGGCAGGGGCCCCCTCTTAGGTGGAGTTGTCCCACCTACTGTCCCTACCCGCCCTCCCATGAGGACTTGCTGCCCACTGCCTGGCAGGCTGCCCAGGCCCAGGTCTGCCCTTTCTATACACTCATTCCCCAGGGGTGGTGAGTAGGGCCTGGGCCCCCAACCCTAGAGTTGCCCCTCCAGCCTTGCCTGGGTTCTGGGTTTATGGCCCATCATCCACTGTCCCACACGCCTGCTATTCTAGTTGGGGGCTTCTGCAGCCCCTATATGGCCCCCAGTGCCTCTTCTCCAGGGAGTGCACCCTGATTGGAAGGACTGATGGTTTCACCCCACCCAGCCCCACCCAGATGCATGGAGAATCCAGTCAGGTAGAGACCTTCAGTGGTTGCACCTACCTTCCACCATGGCGACGTGCTCGCGGTGGCGCTGTTCCCTCGCCTGCAATGCTGGGCCCTGTAGGCACAGATCCACACCGCCTCGTATCGAGCCCAGCTGGTTCACCAGCTGCAGGGACAGACAGCAGAGGTCACTTAAGAGCCCAAAGAGCCTAACTCACCTCTTTGGGGATGTAAGGACTGGCTAGAGAATGGGAGGCCCACCGCAGCTGTGTCCCAGAGCCCTAAAGCCTGGCCACAGGGTCCCAGACCAACCACCATGTCCCCACAAGGACCCAACACTGCCCATGGCTTCTGTGGTGGTAGGGACACTCTATGTCCATTGTCCCACTTAGCAACTATGTAGGTCCTGAACACTTGAAATGGGACTGAATCTTTACCTAGAGTTAACTTTAACTGACTTAAATTTAAGTCACTATCTGTGGCCAGTAGTGATCGAATTGAACTGACAAGGCCCAAGCTGACCTGGGATAATTTGCTTTCCTGGGGCCTGACATGGAGGCCAGATCCCTCCAGGCCCACCCCAGGCTGCCAGCAGCATCATCATGAAGGAGGCCACAGCCTGCACACACTTTCCCTGGACCGTGAAGGACAGAGCAGACTCTACTCAGTGCCTCCTTTATGGAGTCCTGTTAGCTCGTCATGGATGGTGGGTGACAGTGGACTTAGTGTTCCATCATGGACCCTGCATGCCTTGGTGTCCCCTCTATCATCACGGGTTATGGATGGTCATAACAAGGTTGTGTCCCCAAGGCAAGCCCCCACCATTTCCCTGCATCTTCCCTCCTCACCTCACATTCATAGTGGCCCAGGTCCTCCTTGCTGGCCTCCCGGATCTCCAGGACGAGCAGGCCACTGCGTGGTTCACTCAGGGTCCGGTATTTGCCGCCAGGGGTCAGCAGGGCCCCATTCTTGTACCACCTGAAGTCAGCCCTGGTGGTCAGGTGGGGCCTCCCCAAAGACCCCTGTGCTCATGATCCGCCCTCACCAGTCCCACAGATCTGGGTGTTCTTACAGCGCCCACCCTTTTAGATGCCACCCGCCCAACGTCCAGCCTGGCAATGCCCTCCTTGCTGCAGCTAGGGCTGTGTCAGAACACGCCGCAGCCCCAACACCCACGTCCCATCTGAAGGCTGAGCTTCTGTCTAGCCCACCCCAGCATAGTGAACATGCTGCCCACCGTCGATCTAGAGGCAGAAGTGCTGGCCCCAGGGCAGGCCCACCCCCCTTGTCCACCTAGCCCACCTGATCTGAGGGTGTGGGACACCTTCGATGGTGCAGGTGACCTGGGTATCCTCTCCTTCCACAAAAGGCACCGCCCGGATCTTGCTCACAAACCGTGGGGGGACTGTGGGGCCATGGAGTAGGGAGGAGAAAGGGAGAGACACAGAGAGAGACAGAGACAGAGACAGAGAGGGATGGAGAGAGACACAGAGACAAAGACAGAGACAGAGATAAAAGATGGGGAGAGGAATATTGAGAGACAAAAAGAGAGAGCATAATGTGAAGGACCCCACCCCAACTCCAACCAGTGAGCCCCCAGACCTGGGTCAGCTCCATCCAAATGCCTGCACCCCCTTGGGGGCTGCTGTGGTGGGTGTAGTTGGGGTGCCCAACATCCAACCTCCCTCCCAGGCTCACCTTGCACCAGGATCTTGCCCAGGGTGCTGGCATTGCCGGCAGCACTGGCCGCAAAGCACATGTACTGGCCAGAGTCAACACCAGTCAGGTTGTCCAGGATGAGGGTGCATGAGCCATCAGGGTCTTCGATGAGGATGTGGTGAGGGTCCACTTCCACTGGCTTACCATCTGGAAAGGAGGGAGGGCTGTCACAGAGGGGCCTTGCCAATGATTCTGTGACCTCCGGGCACCTCCAAGGCGCTGACCTCCCCTGTCCCAACAGACATGCTTGGACCCTACCCATCTCTTTAAATCACCTTTTTCTGAATACCCTCCCAACCTAATGTCTCTGGCCGTAGTGTGCCTCTTTCCTGGGTAGGAACGGGGATATGTGCACCTTTCACTCCGAAGAACTCTTTCCTCCATAAATAAGTAAAATTCCATATACAAACACTTTCCAATAGCTCTGCACATGCCAAACAAGGTGGTTTAAATTACAACAGTTTCAAAACCAGAATCTTGACCTTTAATTCACAGGAAACCTTAAAAAATGACTTCAGCATATACAAAACAAAGCCTCTAGCTGCCACCCCATTTCTCTGCACCCCTGTACTATGTCCCAGGGAAGTTGTTCTCACTCCAGTACCGCCTCCTCATCTCCCAAACCCACTCCCCCCAGCTTCAATCTCGCACAGAACAGCTCTTGGCAAGGCTGCCAGAGACATCATTAATCCAGTCCATTCTCAGTCCTTGTCCTACTGTCAGAAAACAGTTCTCCATGCCTTTCTGGCATTCCCACGTGGCCCACTGCTGTGCAAAGGCGTGAGGGCCAGCTCCTGGATGCTCATTCGAGGAGACACCTGGAATGTCCAGGGCAGCAGAAACAGAGCCCTCCCCTCCTTCCAGCCCATGAGGCGTTTTTCTCTCTCAGGAATGGGTGGGCAGATGTATCAGGAGCCCCATAAAAGCTCAGTACTTCTGCCCTGGCCAGTGTGGCTCAATGGTTAGTGTCAGCCCACCATGGACGGGTCACAGGTTTGACTCCTGGTCAAGGGCATGTACCTGGGTTGCAGGTTCAATAGTTGGCCCCAGTTGGGGTGCGTGTGGGAGGCAACCAATCGATGTGTCTCTCTCACACTGATGTCTGTCTCTCTCCCCTCCCTCCCTTACACTCTAAAAAAAAAAAATAATAATGGAAAAAATATCCTCAGGTGAGGATTGACAACAACAAAAATAGCTCAGCACCTCCTAAAGCTCAGGGTCTCTCTTGTGATGCCACCCACTGTGTGCAGCTAACATCTGGCCCTGGACGTGGGGATCAGGGCAACTGACCCAAAATGCTGTGCTTTCCTGTGACAAGCAGTCTTTGGCTCTGACCCGGGTTTTGTATGTGTCTGGCTGGCATTCAGGGAATCATCTCAGACCCTTTATGGCTCCTGATATTCAGTTTGGAAACACATTATTCCAGAAGACAAAGAAGGTGGCCAGTTAACAGGACTTGAGGGAGGCCTGTGGGAATTGGTGGTGGACATGCCAATCAACCTGTGTGGTCAGCTGGGCAGTAACAGTCCATGAATGGAGAGGAACTAGGCAGGCGGCTACAGTCTGCGCACCAAGAAGTAGGTTCATAGATAGATTCCTGGTTGACACCTTGATTGACACGCTCTCTCCTTGGAGCTGTTGGTTCAGCCTCAGGTCACCCTGCTTCCCAAATGTGGGGGCAGAGCTGGCTCTTACTGAAGCTCATCTGCCACCTTGGCTCCTGGCCCCCACCCCTGGGAACTCTGTGCTCTGCTTCTGGAGCAATTCGCACTGATTTGTCTGTCTCTTAACCAGCTCTGATGCCAGACTCTCTCAGTGCCTGACAGTCCCCCTCCCCTTAAACACTTCTTTCCCAGACATCTACTCATTGGCTATAAAACAGTCTGGGAGATGAAGAGTGGAGATCTGACCATCTTGAATTTCTATATGTAAGTCTCCTGTTAAACTCATTAACTGACGAGCTGGACTTGCCTGCCTCGTTCTCTGCAGCATTAGGGGAGAGCTTTGTATATACAGCCCTATTCCAAAACATCAACAAATGCTACAACCCATGTTGGGCCTCATCGACCCTGATGGGCAGAGAACAGGAGTGAATGAGAACTCTGAGCATGAGGACAGGCACCAAGCACACAGGTGTGGAGGGTTCTTACTGAGGTGACGTAAAGGATCAGGTGTATGCAGCAGGCCCTGGCATGAGACACCTCCCTAAACAGAAAAAGCTCCTCAGGGAGCCACTGATGGCTGGCACACAGCTTGTGGCACCTGGGTGGCATCTAGAAAGCTGGTGACAGCTGGAGGAGGTGGCCCGCCGGGGCATGTGTTCTGACAGATGGCCCTACCACCTCAGAAATCTTGTGCAGCCATCATGGACAATGGCTGGGGATACCCTGCCAAGTGGATACCCATTAAAAAGGTCACTACCATATAAGTTAAACCTCAGTGGGCTGAGGGACATGGCACTCCAGAGAGCAATGTGACACAGTTATAAAGTTGAGAGGTCCCAGAGCTGAAATGGATACATCAGCAGAAACCTGCTGCCCAGGTTCGGGTCTGGGCAAGCCCAAAGCACTGGATGTCACTGAACTGTGGAAGTGTATCTTGTTCCATCCCTGATGCCTGGTCCCTTCCTCCTCTACCCAATCCACTGCTTTAAGAGAAAAATGATTAGGAGAGGGTGTCAAACTCTCTGTGCCAGAGAGACTAGTCCTACATGCCCATCCTACATGCCTAGGACCTTGGGCAGCAGAAAAAACTCAGACCTTTATGGGTCTGTGGGATACAGGCACCTGGATCCCACTGATGGAATCTTCCCAAGGTTCCCAGTTATCTGGGAAGATAATGTCCCCTTGAGACCAAGTCTGGGAACTGTGGCTGTGGCTCCTACCCCTAGACCCTGACATTGACTGTGTTTGAAATTCCCTACTCCAAACATGGGGACGGGACACTCCCAGTGGGGACACCTATACATGGAGAGGTAGCCCTGGAGCATGTAACCAGCCCAGCCCAGCCCCGCAGTCAGTCCCTTCCCAGATTGATGCTTAGAACCCCAGGGAGGAAGGAGGTTCTGGGCCTCCTGGGTGACATGAAGGTAGCTGGGGTAACAGGAGAGGCTGCATCCGAGATCAACAGCCTTGAACAGCTAGAGGGAGTAGATTGTCACCAGCCCAATCCAGTATCTGCTCCTGTGGCTCCAGCTGGTGTAGACAGGGTGGCTGTAACAGGTCTGCTGTGAGTTCACACAGCAAGGTCTCTAATACAAGTCTCCAGTGCTCTCTGCTCCCTGGCAGCTGCTCCAGGTGGGTCAGGACTTGACCCTCTGCCCCCAATACTCAGCTCTTGCTGTATGAGGACACTTTCTCTGCTGGCAAGTCTGACTTCTGCCTGATGCTGCTCTTCCTGGCCAAGGCTGTTATGTGCTCACTGACTTTGAGCAGTTGCAAGTGGCCTGGCTATTTGTTTTGCCACGTCGACTATAGAGGCCTGGTGGAAGACACCCAACCTTGGGGCAGTGAGCCATTGAGGCAAAGAGAGACTGCTGATGAGGCTCCCACCCAGACCACCAGGGTTCTGTTTGGAGCTGCACCATGGGTGCATGGCACTGACCCCACAGCATGTCACACAGAGGACTGCTGAGAAATGCTCTAGTCCAGGTGGGAGGCACAACACATGAAATGGACTCCTATCCTGGAAGGTCAGTGCCTGCCAGGGATATCCTACCATGATGTTGCTTCAAATCAGCCAATGGCCGGCCCTGGCCACACCCCATGGCCATGTGTGCCACCTGGACCACCTGCAGTTTGACCACTGTGTCAACATGAACTGACTGCCCAGCTGCCCCTCACCTCCTGCACTCACTGGACACAGCTGTTCCCAGAAGGGTCATCCTCTCCAGGGTCTCACTGAGTAATGGCTAGGGCAAAAGAGACCGAGGACTCCCCAGTGCAGTTGGGAACCCAGGATTCCCACCCTGACCGCCTAAGTGAGGTGTGTCCTTCTTCCCCTCAGACGTGGCCAGCCAGCACATGCTCCTGGGGACAGCCTGGCCAACAGGAGGGCCTGAGGAATGCAGTCACTTTTGGAGGACTTTTATGAACAGTGTTGTCCCTCTGAGCCCGCCCTTCAGGTGAAAGGTCAGGGTGAGAAGGGGTAATGGGAAGGGCAGTTGAGCTGCACAGGTTCTATGCCGGGCAAGGTGTCTGGGAAGGGATTGCCGCGGACCCCAGGACATGGGCCAGCAGGCCTATCCTCCAGAAGGAAGACCTTGGGAAGCTCTTTCAAGCTGCCACCAGGAACCAGCTGCTGCATCCACTGGCTCTGCCGTGCAGCTCTGACCATGGGCCACAGGGGTGGCTCCTCCTGCATGTCCCAGCAAAATGCCCCTCTGTGTCCTGTCCAGCCTCATCATTAGCCTTTTGTGAGCAAACAAATTCCCCTGGCTAGTTGTGGATATTAGGACAAGAAGGACTGGCAGCCCTGGGATGATTCTTCCAACCAGAACTGGACTTGGTTATTCACACTGAATGAGGGACTGAAAGGTCTACCTGCCAGCCCAAATGAGGCTTATCTGCCAGCTCAGGTGACCCTTGGTAAGAGTATCCCAGTTTACCTGGGGGGCATGGGCCACTCTGAATGGTCTATGCTGGACTGTGATTTAGCATGGAGGCTTTGGGACACACAGCATCAAGATGACCTCTGGAGGGCCTGTGACTGAGGTAAGCCATGCAGTGGTCAATTGTGGCAACAATGAATGACCCCCAACAGAAACACTGGACACCAAGGCTTGGTGAGAGTCCCTAGCTGGCCACTCTCAATGTGCTGTCAAACATCAAAGCTGGAGAACAGGTGCTGCACAACCCCACCGGGACCCCTGCCAACACACTCCTCTTACTTTTCACGGCAATAAGCTGGAACCCTGAGTGGAATGACTCCACTCAGCTCTGTGAGTCCTTCCAGTGAATCACTGAACCTAGAGGTAGTCATGGGACTCCAGACCTTGGTGTCAGAGTGAGGGTGGTCTTGGGGATCCTTCAACTCTCTGCAGCTACCGTCACACTCAGATCAAATCTGAGACCCTCTGGCAGCCCTCAATTCCCTGTTCTGCCATGGTGCCCCTCTCCCTGGCCTCCTGGCCACCTCACTGCCCCTTAGAACCTTCCAACATGTGTGCCTGGTTGTGCCTTATTTCTCTGGCTGGCCTGGTCACATTGCTTTTGACTTCACATTACACCTTTGTCTCTCTGCTGTCACCTGTCTACTCCCCTAGAAAGTCAGGTCCCTCGACAGAGTTGACGCATGCCCTCCCTTCTATTCTACCTCATGTGCCCTGGCCAGGCTGTCTTTGATTCCAGAGCAGGCAACTAGGCAGGAGTTCTGTCCCTCACACTCAGGCCCTGACCAGGCCCCACCCTGGGTCCCTGGTCCCCATCCAGCCTGATTCCCTCTGGGTGGCTCTTCACTGTGTCAAGGCCAGCACCCCTAGGCCATGGGGACCTACCTTTGTACCAGCTGACGATGGGCTTGGGTGTGCCCGTCACACGGCAGGCCAGCTTGACTGTTTCACCCAGCTTGGCTGTGCAGTCGGCCAACTCTTCCTCAAAATCTGGGGGCCCTGGGGACACACACACCACACACCTGGGCCCTGAGAGCTTACTCCTGCCCTCAGTGCACCCCTGGCAGGGCCAGAAGTACCAAAGCCAAGTGTGGTTGCTACAAACACCTTTTGATCCTGCACTGGGCCCCAATGGAAATCTGGATTGGAGGCAGGCTGGGTGATATTGGGGAGTAGTGGGAGTATGGAGAGAAGAGTGTGTTGAAAGGGGAGCCTCTCCCCCATTCCAGGTGGGAAAGGAGACCCAGAGATCAAGACCCTTCACACCCCTAACACCTCTGGGCTTCTACACTGTGCTGGGGGCCTGAGTGAAACCTGATGCCCCCCACTGGAGTCATGGCCAGCCCAGCACCCCAGCTTAGCACATAGAGAAGCTGAACTGATTGAGGGGAGAGTGCCCACCCCCAGGAGGCAGCCCTTTCCCTGGTGGCTGCTCAGGCAGGGGCAGGGGTCTTTGTGTCCCCAAGCTAGATGGCCTGGCTGGAAGGTTTGATCCCGTCTGACCTCACCACCAGGACCAGCACTCACGCCAGACAGGCAGGGCCAGGCGCTGTTGGATGCCGCAGATCTCCTTCACCCAGGCATTCTTGGTGATGACAGTCCGTGCCTGCAGTAGGTACTTGCGCACTGAGTCCTCCCGCTCATGCCACACCTCGAAGGCACGGTCGTCCCCCTCCACCTGCTCATTCAGGTCGATGCTGCTCAGCTGTGGGGGTGAGGGGGAGGCAGGATGACTGTCCAAGATGTGATCAGAGGACCCTCTGAGGCCTCCTCCTGCCCACCCAGGCTCCGCCGGCACCTGCACACCTTCATCATGTTCCGGAACACATAGCTGAAGGTGTCGGTATGTGAGTCCCTCTTGGGCTTGCAGACCACCAGATGGTTGCGGAACAGGAAGACGTGGCGGTGGTGGCCCTTCCAGGGCATCCGTGCGCCCGGTGCCCCCTCCCACACAATGAAGTGGCCCTGGGAGAGTGGTCAGCCCATGGTCAGCCTGGGGCACAGCCACCCACTCTGCCCCACCACCCACTCTGTATGGCGCCCACTCCAGACCTGACGGATGGGCTCGCCTAGGGCCTCCAGGGTGCCTGGGTAGTTCTCCATGAGTGACACGTGCAGCTGGTTCTCGGCGCGCTGCGGCAGGGCTGACACCACCGCGTAGGCCTGCTCCAGCAGTGAGCAGTTCTGCCGGTTCCGAGCCTTGTTGCGGATCAATTCCTGGAGAGAGTACAGGTCAGGGTGTACCCCACTGACCACAGGGCAGGACATGGTGGTAAGGGCAAGGGACAGCCTGCCTACCTTGAGCAGAGCCTGGTACTGCTGAACCCGCTGCACCGGCTGCTCCAGGAAGTGCTGTAGCGGCGGCGGGGGCGGCTGTGAGGGGTCAGTGGCCGACAGCACCTCCTCTGAGTATTTCTGTGGGAACCACAGAGTGGGTTTCAGGGCAGGAGGGCAAGGCCCAGGAATGGCCCATGTCACCCAGAGCCCAAGAGCACACACATAGCCCCTCCTCCCTGGGTGGGCCTCACCTCCCACCCCCACCAGTGATGGCCAATCACTGACAGGTGAGAAAACCTTCAGGGGCCTCTGCCTGCTTTACTCACTAAGCCAGGGCCCTGGGACTTGGGCAGGTTGGGGGGGG